CATAGCTGCTCACGCAAAACACAAGGCAAGAAAACAACAGGTACAGTCAACTTTAATGAAATAATAATCAGTTATATGTACAGCTATAACAGAAGGAAAAAACAGCTACAGAAAGGATGCAAACACAACTCTGGATGTGGAGAAACAGTCACAGGGACTGGGCTGGACCACAGCATTTCTGCCATTCTCCTCCTCTTTTGAAGACGTGTTTTGCCCAAAAGGCAGTACTGAAATACATGAAATCCTCCCGAAACTGCTTTTCGGGCCAACAGAAGATGACAGCCTGCCCCACAGGGTCATTTCGTGTTTCTTTACCAGAGCCCAGACATCCTCCTCCACAGCCAACACCAGTGGGGCCTCACAGAGCTGCTGCAGCCCTTTGCTCAGCACTGGCCTGCTACAGTGCCCAGCATAATCCCGTAACAACCTCCAGCATCAGTATGGCTCTTTTCAAGGGACTGCAGCAGGTACATACAAAAGTCTTTATAAAGTCCCTTTCAAAAGTATGGCAAAATACCTGGAAAGACCAGTATGAAGTACAAAGCCATTAAAATTGTACACAATGAATTACTGGTATCTGGTAACTTATTAAATAAATCCACACAAAAAAAAAGACACTTTTTTTTTAACACTCTGCTTTTTCTGAAGTTTAACTTGCACAGAAACAAGCTGTGGCACTCGCTGCTCACAGTCCTCTTGTAACAACGGAGATGCTTTATTGAAGTTTAAAACATGGTTGCGCACCAGGTACTATGAAAGTTTACAGCCCTTGTATTCTAACAGGAATCCAAATCCTATGCTGGGAAGGGAATTCTCAGTGCACTGCCTATGGTCAGTGAGCAATTGCCAAGCAAGGCTGCTATTTCTGTATCAGCTGAGAAATACGCAGGAGAATTTTCTCAGAAGAACAGGCGGGCTTGCCTACAGCTGTACGTAAATCCCAGCTGCGCAGATGCAATTCCACATTATTAAAGGCCCCTTTCTCTTGGAGAGCTGGTAGTTAGAGGTGATGCTCGTGTACACACACCATGCTGGTGCAAACCCCCTCGGAACATGGCAGTTGGTGGGTTTTGATGGTGATTGGCCTGTCCAGACATTTACAGCCTCGTCCCCAGGCCCTCATGTCTAGATTTCTTCCCTGAGGACTTCGCTAAGATTGCTCCAGCATTTCCCTGCATGTTTCAGCGCAAGCTACGTGGCATGCCGGAGCCAGCCAGAGCCCGGCAGCAGCGAGCCAGGCATAATGCACATTTCCCAAGGGATGCCCGGGCTTGGCTGAAGTCAGGCAGGCTTTGTAGTGAGGAGGGGCTGGAGCACTGCGGGACAGGCTGCCGCCAGCACCCAGGGATGCCGGCAGCGCTCAGACCAAATCAAAGCAATTCTAGCGCCAGCAGTTCCCCAAACTATGTCAGCACGGAGGCAATAGTTGACTGCTAACACGCATGCAGCTCACTGCTATTTATATCACATGCCATATATCAAAAATATGCTACATCTGAGGACAGCTTCACCACAACATCATGACTGGAATGGAGGAAGGCAAGGGAAGGAGAGGGGCTGCCCGCAGTAGGCACGCTCCAGCCCAACCCGCACTGCTGATGCCACTGGGAATTTTGCCCATTGAGCTTAATGGTGCAAGAATGGCCCCCTGGCAAACTGTCCGGCTGTCATTTCCTTGGCATTTGCACCACAGCCTGGGGTCAGCAAGGCAAGCGGCTGATGCTGTGCTTTAACGTGTGTGGAAATGCACAGGCATTTGACAGAGGAAGAGGCTGAATGAAAACCACCACTCACTGCAGCCATCCAGCTTCATGCAACACGACAGCAGGGGTGACCACGGTTTCTGGCATCTGTACGCAGCAAGTACCTGTCTGCAATACTAAACGCCGGCCTGAGCCTTTCTGGCATTGACGTCTTCATGTTAACATTGCAGTCATTTCACTTTCCCTCGTCTCTGTTGAACCCCAGGGCAAACCTCCAGCTGTCTCTGACGTGCCTTGAATACAGCCCAGCAGTGGGTTGGGTGCTCGTCACCTCTTGGGACCTCTCGCTAAATGCATGTTACATACAGATTTATAGCATGACCAGTGGGGAAACCTGGCATGGATGATGGCAGAAATGTGGCCTTGACACAAAGATGCCAATAATGATAATACAGTCACTGCAATGCCTTCCTTTTTCCGCAGCTGCGGTCAATAGCCTGTTTGAAGCCCCAGCCCCAGGGAACACACTGTACATAGCAAGGTTTGCCCCATGTCCCAGGATCCGTTTCACATAGACACACAACTGAACGGGCATGCAGGATTAACTACACCTCGGCCCCAGGAGCCCTTTGAGCTCTCCATACACACCCCACGCCAACTGGAGCTTTAAATCACTCCCTGTACCCTTTATTTTGGGGGCATCACTGCCATCACAGAAAACTGTTGTGTTTATTCTGTTCCAGGGCCATTTCATTGACCAGCTGCTCTATGGATGACTGAATGGCCGCCTTCACGAGAGAAGAGGCAGTTTCTATGAGGAGCAATTCGTACTGCTCCCCAGTTCTGTGCTCATGGTTGCCTTGAGCTTTTTCCTCTGCTTGGGCATCACCACCAGCCTCAGGACCCTCTTTTTTACCCGAATCAAAGCTGCTGCTTGATTTTTTATTCCCTTTTTGCTTATTTCGGTGCAAAACAGGGGATGGCTCACAGGCCTGGTCAGAGTCGGTGTTGTCAGAGTCCTCAGCTTCGGTGACAGTGATGACAATGCCAACAGCGGTGCCTATGTTTGCTCCTAATGGCACGTCATGGCTGGAGCTGTCCTCCACGCTCACTGCATCATCTTTAGATGTTGACTGACTGAAATCCATTATCGTCTCTTCAGCTTTGCATTCCTCAGGAAGATTTATGCTCTTTTCTGATCCATCCTCTTCAGGCAGCTCTTCACAGATATTAGGGATTTCCTGCAGCTCAGTGGTTTCTAGGGTGCTGTCAGGTTGATCCTTGGAAATGGGCACTTCAGGAGCAATCTCGCCACCTTCCACAGGGACTGTGGTTTCAGGTGGGCTCTCCTCCTGCAGTTTTTCCTGGGATGTTTCATTAACTGTCTCTGAATCAGTTATCTCTGACTTGATGGTGCACTCTGTATGTTCCTCTGCATCAGGTGTGGGCTCTGTCAAGGGCTCACTCTTATCAACAGAGCTGGTACTTTCCTTTGCCATATCCTGGTCCTCCTCCACGGAGACCGGGTTTAAGGATTCAGACTTGTCCACTGGGGACACATCCTTCAGCTCTTCACTAGCTTTATTCACAATGCCCATCGCTTCGTTTGCTTGAACACTGCCCTCTGACTCCTCCACTGCTTCAGAGGGGCTGGGTTTCTTCTTGCCCCTGGAGAACCGAACACAGGGCATCTTCACCCCAGAGCAAACACGTTTCTTTGGGATGCCTTGCTCACAGCCCTCCTCAGCATCCACCTCCAGCTGCACTTGGGAATCAGAGGGCACTTTCTTCCGGGAGGAGGATTTCTGCCTTCTCCGAGGCCTTGCAAGGTTTTTGATGGCTGTCCAGGCTCCTCTGGAGGATTGTGACTGGTTAGAAACTTTCACCTCTCCTAGGTCAGTGCTGACACATTGGCTTTTCTCTTCGGAGGCTCCTTCACACGCGTCCCTTACAGTCAGCCTCTTCTTACGGGACTTCTTTCGCTTCTTAAAACAGAGCATGGAGGGTTTTTCTGCCTGTTCCTCTGATGGGGAGCATGTCGCCCCAGCACTGTGAGTCTCTGCCTCTCTTGGGTTCTCCATTTGAATTTCCACAGCTGCCTTCACCATATTCGCTTTGTTGCCGTTACATTACCAATCTCCTTGGTTAACGCATCAGACACAGGAACTGCAGAGATGCTCCAGGCACATTTTTCCTCAAGTTGTTTTCAAAATAATGTTAGTTGCTTTTTAACAAGCGGATGTGGCAGTGAAGAGTTCTGCTGAAGCTATCACATACATGTAAAGGGAGCTTTACAACTCCCTCTTCGTCTTGTGACTTCCTTTATCATCTCTCCAAGGAATCTAGCATAGACGTGAAGTTGAATAAGCTTCTCCTTGGCTTTGCTGGCCAGAGTCACTCACACCTCTGAGACAATCCACTTCCAGTTGCGCTGGGTCTAAGAGCCAGTCTGACATTACATTTCTTTCCCCCAAAGGATGACAATCAAGACAAAGGTTAACAATTTTTATTCACCCCATGGACCTGGAAAGAACTTGCACTTTCCTAGCTATCTGCAGTTCCATGTTGCCCAGGGAGCTGGGCTGGAGCACCAGTAAAACCAGAGGCCCGCAGTGGCTGTTTTCTGCCCCCAGTGACAAGTCAGATGCTGCTTTGTCTAGCTTTGCTTTCTGCTTCAGTTCCCCTCGCAGGTTACATTAGGTTTGCTGCAAAGCATGGCCAATGCCTCCATCTTTTATCTGTAACACAACAAAGAAATGATAAGACCCGAACAGCAATTATTTTTTTTTAATTAGAAAAGTATTTCAAAGTGTTGTTTGGTTTGGGGTTTGTTTTTTAATATTTCAATCTGGGAGTCAGACCAGGGCTGGCTGGAAAAGCAGTTCTGCCTCGGGATGCCCCATAGCAGTTTTTCCTGCTAATTATCATCAATATCCAGAGGCAAAATAAGGCCACGAAGATGTCAACCCAGTGATATTTCACCACAGAAAAAAAACGTTTTGCTATTTTGTGTGGTAAACGGGAACTTACTTTTTTTAACTGCCCATATTACAGCAAATCCATATTACACATGCACATGCATATATTTTCTTCTCCTACGGTTAGCTGAATCTTTTCCCCACCACTCCATATGCACTCACAGTTCCAGCTAGGGAAATTACACCCTGAGACAGCAGATATTTTTATCTTTAATGCACCATATGACAATATGCAAAAAACACAGAATACAAAAAGAAGGCTTATGGAATACAAAAGCGAAATCACATGGCAAGAAGGGAGCTTATTTATACTATGTGCATGCCTTCCATGGCAACCTCAATTAACACCGCATGTGTTCATCAGATACATGATACTGTAAGATATATGTCACGCTTCAGAAAAAGAAGGAATAATCGCTGCCTCAGAACACCATCAGAACAGTTTTGGATATAAAGACGCAAAAACACGTTACTGTGAACAGACCAACTTCTCCGGGACCGGCTCGAAGACTCAGGGCAAATCTTACACAGCGTTTTGCGCTGTTTTCAGTAGTAAGGCGATTGAAAAGGGGCTCAGCCGGGGCGCGCTCCCCGCGGAGCAGAAATGGGGCTTTAAAAAATAAATGAAATAAAAATGAATGTTAATTTTTAAAGGAACAGGAGCAGAGCCGCGTGTGCGAGCTTGCAGCCCGCAGCTCCCGCTGCCCCGAGCGGAGCCCGCAGCCCCGAGCCCGGTCCGGCCCAACCACGCACCCGCGAAGTTCCGGGTCGCTCGCAGGAGCAGGAGCCGCCCGGCACCGCCGCTGCTCCCCGAGACCTCTCCCCGCCCAGGGCAAGGGCACCCCAAAGCCGACCCCGTCCGCGGGGATGCGGGTGCTGCGCGGGGAGCACCGCGGCCGCCCAGGCCTACCCCCACGCCGCCCGCCCCGCGCCCCCCGCGCCCTCACCTGCGGCCCGGCCCGCGCAGCTCCGCGCCGCTCCGCGCGGCTGCGCTGCCACCGCCTGCGCCGCAGCCGCGCCCCCCGGGCCGGCGGGGAGGGCGCTGCCGGCAGCCCCCCGCCCCCCGCCGCCAGCCCCCGGCCCGCCCCCGGCCCCGCGGCGGCCCTGCCGGCACCCAACCGCAGCGAGCGGAGAGCGCGGCGCTGCGGAGGGGCCCGGGACTGCCCTCGCCTGCGAGCGGGCCCCGTCCCGCCGAGGGCAGGGCTGGGTCTCTCCCGTGGGACGCCACCCCCTCCTCTCGCGGGGCAGCATCCCAATTTGCAAGGCAGCATCCCTCGCTTTTGGCACGGCGGCATCCCTCCCTGTGCGGCAGGATCCCTCTCTCTTGCAGAGTAACCCTTCCCCTCCCAGGTTGTGCACGGCAGCAGCAGGCGCTAACAGCAAACTGCACTCAAGACAAAGGTTTTCCACGAGATTGAGTTGGGATTTTCAATTTGGATCCCAACGGCAGCAAGAGGCACTGTAAGATGTGCACCTCGGTGGAAGAGACCACTGGCGTTTGTGGATCCAGTATTTACCTGGCTGTTCGGGAAGGAAAGGGGTCTTGCTCTTGGCAGCTGCCTTATTTTGTCCCACTTGAAACCTATGCAGCTGTAAGCACACACAATTCGGGCTGCTGCAGGAGCTAGGCCATTGGAGGTGTTGGTAAGGACAGCCAGTTCTTGGGTTTAAACTAGCCCTCACCCCAAATCCCAGAGAAAGTGCCTCTTTCATGAGCCTCTTCTGACTTTGAAAAATCGCATCTCCAGCTCTTACACGATTGGTGGGAAGGCCTCGGGAAAAAGGACTACCAAGTGCAGCTGATGAACTACATGAAGCTATAGTTGGAGATGCCTGAACATCCCCATTCATCTCCACAGGGAGCTGACTGACGCCCACAAAGGTTTTGAGGACATTAACTACTTCACAGCATGCTTGAACATAAGACCCAGGCACAGCAGCACACTTTGAACCTGCAAGTGGCTTCCTGTGAAGGCCAGCCTTAGAAAAACACACATGGCCTCCCACATCCTTGGCTTCTGCATGGGAAAAATGCACACAACAGGCTCATTGGGCTGGAATGTCAGCCAGCAGGGCAGAAACATCAATCAAGCAACAAGGAACTGCCTTTTTAAAAGCTCCCCTATGAGACGTGTTTGCTTGCCTTCACTCAGGATAATAATCTTCATTTGGAAACAGTTTCTCTCCCCAGGGTGGGTGGCGAGTTCTAGTTACGCCTTACTTCTGCATTAAAGACAAGTGAGGCTCCTCAAGGAGATGTCCCCTCGATGGAGCCGGTGGCAGGAGGAAGGGAAACAGTATCACAAGGATGGCTGGCGTGAGGATGGCTTGCATGCATGCCAGCATGATGGAGGCAGGTTCTCCTCAATCCCATGGGGAAATATTGCATGGAATTCAATTATTCCTGTGCCTCTGGGGAAGATGGTACCACCAAAGGCTGTGGTGGAAGGCAAATAAATAACACGGTCTGGGGCACATAGAGGATCTGGTCAGAAGACAGGTAAGCTTGAAAGGTCCTGGCCCAGCTGTAGGCTGTCTTTTCTTTCTGGGCCCACACTGGTAACATGCAGCAAGCCAGCCAAGCAACACTTGCTCCTATTTCTTTTGTCCCTCTTGCCAGTAAAGAAAAATAAACCAAACCAACATCAAACCCCTGCATGATGCAAACCTCTGCATGACATGATGCAGGACTCTTACTATAGCACAGCTGGGAAAACAGATGGCCGTAACACCAGCTAAGGGCTCTAGGCCCACAAAGAGCCCACAGAGAACAAACTCGTACATAATTAGATTTTTCTCTAGGCAACAGAAAGAGAATACAATCTTCCAATATTTACTTAGCAGAAATTAAGTGTCCTTTGTGTCCTATTTAATAGGCAAACACTAGCTGGTGTACTTAGCTGCAAAGGAGAGACTTAAGAATAACCTATTTATGTGTCAGTCCTGCAAGACCCAGAGTATCATCACAGAACAGTTTGGGTTGAAAGGGAGCTTCAAAGGTCATCTATTTCAACCCCTGCAACGAGCAGGGACATCTTTAACGAGATCAGGTTGCTCAGAACTACATCCAGCCTGGCCTTGAATGTCTCCAGGGATGGTGCATCCACCACCTCTCTGGCCAAACTGTGTGCTTCACCACCCTCATTGTAAAAAATGCCTTCCTCACACCCAGCCTGAATCTCCCCTCTATTAAGCTTAAAACCATCACCCCTCATCCTATCACAACAGGCCCTGCTAAAAAGTCTCTCCCCATCTTTCTTATAAGCCCCTTTTAAGTACTGAAAGGCTGCAGTAAGGTCTTCCCAGTCTTCTCCAGGTTGAACAGCTCCAGCTCTCTCAGCTTTTCCTCACAGAAGTGCTCCAGCCCTCTGATCATTACTGTGGCCCTCCTCTGAACCCTCTCCAACAGGTACACATCTTTCCTGTACAGAGGACTCCAGAGCTGGATGTAGTACTCCAGGTGGGGTCTCACCAGGGCAGAGCAGAGAGGCAGAATCACCTCCCTTGACCTGCTGGTCACGCTTCTTTTGACACAGCCCAGGATACATTTGTCCTTCTGAGCTGCAAGCACACACTGCCAGCTCATATCCAACCTTTCATCCACCAGTACCCCTGCTGAGTCCTTCTCCTCTGGGGTACTCTCAATCCCTTTGTCCCCCAGCCTGTGTTGATACTGGGGGTTGCCCCAACCCAGAACACTGGAGAGCTCACATCTCAAAACATTCGAAATGAGGGTTAGCAAAGCATTCCCCACTAACCGCCAGGGATGCTTGGGGTATTTCTTTGCCCCTCTGCTTTGTTGCCACCAGTTCTGCCGTGCACAGGAAGACCTTAGAACAGTGGCTCAGGCATGCAACTGTTTGCCTCCCTGCAGGAGCTGGACTAGCAACCTCTTGAACCATCTCTCAAGCACGTCTATGAGCTCATGCTAAACTAAAAGGAGGCTAATCTTAGCATAAATTTGCACTTATCCCATCTTTCGTAAGCATAAAATGAAGGTGGAACACAGAGCACTTGCAGGAAAGCAGTGCAGCAGGGAAGATTAAATGTAGGAGCTGACAGTGGACTTGGCAGCAGCTCTGGCAACCTGCTGCAGCAGGAGGCCTGGCTGAGGTGCCGCAGGTGAAGAGGTACTTTCAGCCAGGCACAGAGGCTGCAGCAGCAACTTCTGACACCCTTCAGTGGCCTGTGGGCCCTCTGGCAACCCTGGCTGCCAATAAAGCCTTGAATACCATATAAGAGGAAATTTTAGGAGGCCATGAATAGCATCTCAAATGGTCTTAATGACAATTCAAGCTGTTCTGTCTGCTTCTGTGACAATCAGGTCATTTCTAGACAATAATCCTTCCCTCCTGAATAACTCTAGAGCTATAGCACTCTCTGTATATATACACAGTATCTGTCTGCTACAGATGTGCCCTTATACTGGTGCACACCTACGCCCTGATTATTCCAGTTTTCACCAAAATCAGCGTATTTTTGGATTCAGTTCTGATGTAAACAGATTGGCCTTGCAAGTCTTAGTTCAGATCTTTTGCTGTCAACTGCAAGTATCTCAAATTCAGAGTAATTCACGTAGTTTATTTCCTATAGATGACACACATCATCTAGGAAACAGGATTAAATGCACATACACAGTGGTGCATTGCAGGCAACTTACTGCTGCAATGATCACTCTTACTTGTCAATACAGGGATTGCTGCTGTGTACAGTTGATGACAGAATTAAGTTCTACTTCAGTAATCTTGGTGTGTATGTTAACACCTCAAAAGCACTTCCAGTATTTACCAGTTTATTTGTATTAGTTAAAAAATTGGCAGCAATTGTACTTCTACGTTACAGAATGATTCTTGGCCTGCTGACAAAACCTACTACAAGTTACTTGGTCGCTACTCATGTTGTCTCTGTTCACCAAACAGGCAGCTCAGAAAACAAGGCACATCAACAGTGTAACTGTATTGCTTGTTGAGCATAAAATGGTTTAAAAGATGGGTGTAGTAGAAGCCAGTTATGGGCCAGAGATCCAATCCCAACTGATCTGACATCCAGAGGTTCCATTTCCTTCACAGTAAAATACGGTAGTCACAGCTGGGCTTTCTAAAAGGGAAATTTGATGTGGCTCAGGTGGTCTGCAGGAATAATTCAGAGCAGAAGCCAGAGTAACCACTTCTGGAGAGAGGCAAGAAGGAAAGCAGATTCCTCCTTGCTCCCTCTTTTAAATGGCACTGGTGTGGTTTCATAGTGCAGCAGTTTCTCCCATAGCGGAGAAGGAGAATACAGAATTTAGCATTGCAAATAGGAATATGCAGTGTACAAGACTTTCAAAGATAGCATATGCTACAAAACCCCTATGGCTGAGACAATTAAGACCCAAGACTGTTCCAAACAGCTCCAGCTTTAAGATTTTTAATTATTAAAATCAGGTACTTGAATCAGAGGTCACTAAACCTAAGCTTCTGTATTCTGCTTCAGCCACAATTAGGAAGCAGGTTTGTAGAGGAAGTATGATTTATATGCTCAGTGTTAACTAGCTTGGAACACAGAAGTATAAAAACTATTATAGATTAAGTAGTTGATGCTTTAGCACTCCTCCTTCCAGTCACTTCTTGCACTGTATTCTCAGTAATATCTTGTTTTGACTTTAAAGAAAAAAAAAAAGATCAGGGTATAGTTCCGTTTACATGACTCATCAGGTGTTCTTCTGGGAGCTGGAAAGAAAGATAGATTTAATTACCATTATATAGTACTGCAGGCAACTTTCAGGATGAATTATAATCAAATGTCATTTGGAAACATATGGAATAATATGAGACCGGCTTAACTCCATTATCTCAAGATGAGAAATAAAGCCCAAATATTGAAAACCTTGAAGAAGGCACCCACCTTCAGTTACTAACTCCTTTCAAAAGAGCCCGTTTACTGTTCCTGACACTGGGTCTAAGTCTATATCATAGAAACAGGGTCTTGTAGGAAGTCCAGGCATAGTGCTCATCTGTACAACAGAAGATAAAATGTTAAAATGGAAGCAGAATAGTTTCATAGAGAAGATACAATACTAAAGACTATGATGGCAGCTCCTTGCACATATACAGCTAGTTGGATGATGGTCATGTACCATTTTGAAGCATACTGTGAGAGTCAGGAACTTCTGGCTCAGTACACAGATCTGGAGGTTTGGATTTTTATGAGGGTTTAGTTTGGCTTCTGCCACTGCCAGTGACCAATCCCAAGATTTGGCAAAGTACTCAGACATCTAGCTGACCAGTTAACTGTTAGAGGAGTATTCAAGGACTGCTGTGGTGAGCGAGTAATTACCTGTGGCAGTTTCTGGTTAT